GCGCTTGATAACAGGTTATCTGGTGCCAGAATGGATGGTAAGTTGCGTTCAAGTAGCCTATGTTGATAAAATCACTCCTTTCAATGTAAAACCATGGTTTGATAAGGTGTAAACTGTAGACTGAAGGGGCAGCAAATTCATCATCATTGTCAACAACAGTACATCAGCCATTTGAACTGATGCTTCGCTGTCATAAAATCATGAGGACCTACGAAACGAAGAATAATAATAAAGAAGGGGAAATTACCTGAAAACTTTAGTACCTTAAGCAAACATTCAGGGTTAAGGCACCTACACCTTGTGTAGACAACATTCCGTCACAAACAGCTGGCAATCGTGCATAGATAAGGCAGCATCGGCGAGACAGCTTCCTTGCGGCTTTCACTGCCACGCGTCATAGTCAGCCATTACCCCGCAGATAAGTCAGCACCAAACACACTCTAAACAGGCAATTCGACTAGGAGATGACAGCAGACGCGCCACTGGTGCCGAGTGCGAGCCATGTCCTGTAAAGTCTCGAGCCAAGCTCAAGGCGGGTCATGTGGACTCCAGCCCGGAAGGCGAGACGGACCAACGGTACCCAGTTTGGTCGTCAGTGTCTTCATTTCCCGTTGCCAAGTCAACTTCTGTCCACCGCGAGGCTTGTGCCACCCTACATCTGGTAGACTGAACAAGGCCCTCCTAGGTAAGCGGTGACCAGGCATACGTAGCAGTGCCTGAGTCAACGCAACTTATTCAGTGCTACTTGTTGTTCAAAGGAACTAGCTTGAGCACCATTGCCTAGCACTCGCATAGGCACATCATCGTTGCGGACACACTGGTGCTACCAGACACCAACAATGCCCCTCAGACAGCGCTGATCAAAGATTTGAAGGCGCCTCAGATGTTCAGACCGAAGCGGCCAAGTCTCACCCCAATAGCGTGGGATGGCCCTCACTGTGGCACTGTAAACACGGCTTTTCAAACGGAGGGGAACCTTTTTCTGTCGCCAAAGATGTCGCAGATTCAAAAAGGCAGTTCTGGCTTTTGCAATGCGTGAACTGGCCTCAATAGCTATACACCCATCGTTGCTGATACATCTACCAAGGTAAGTGAATTGGTTAACTACCTCGTTATCGAGGGTCGAGGAGTCCTCAAGTAGCTGCTGGTCCTGCAGCAACACATTGCACATTGAAGGTGCGAAGCGCATACCAAATAATGGAAACACTCTACACAGGTGAGTCAGGGTTGATTGAGCCGCTCCAACATCGGGAAACAGCAAGACGATATCGTAAGCATAATCAAGGTCGATTAGCGTTTCACCAGGCAGCACCTCATCCAATGGCTGAGCCATGTGATGCACATGCCAGCCCACCTACTTCCGCAAAGTGCGTTGTTTGCGCGCCGGGGGTGCGTATGGAAGAAGAGGAGGGGTGGTCAAGAAGAATAAAGGTCCTTACTTAGAATTTGGCCTCGCTTGGAGCCTCTCTGCTCCCTGGTTAGGGACCGAAAAACATTGAACACGTTTGGCTGGATACACTTGTTGACATGACCAGGAGCCGACTTCAACGTTGTTTGTGTTGCGAGTGTCTCTCCCTCTCCCGCTTAGCCTCCGCTTTCAACCACGATCTCATTTACTAGGCAGAATATAACTCCTTTTTGCAGCACAATGGCTGGCTGTTGGCTCTTCAGAAAGATGTGTATCCGTAACTGGTGACTCCGCCGGTATGCCTCCGTTGCATATTTTTTTAGTTTCCTTTATTTTGCGGCACAGTAGCCGAGGGGTTTCACCTGAAGCTAACGTGTATGATAATGATATAATGAAGCAGCACCTCAACGCCTGCATAGTGGGATTCTGCAAGGGAACACGCCATGATAGAGTCCAAGACGAAATGTACAAAAAATAAGGAAATTGGACAACCCTGATGAGCGCCACCTGTTGTCGGAAAGCTATCCGACAGGTCACCGTAGACCCTGACGCGGCCCGTCGTGTTCGAGTACAGGGCACGCAAGATATTCACATTTTCCGTGGGAACAACTTTCCGCACAGGTATTTCGAACAGAATGCATCGATCGACTGAATCGAACGCACTCTTGAAATAAAAAACAGCTATTGTCAGTCTGCGGTAAGCTTGGCGCTGCTCTACCACCAGAATATATGGTCTATACAGTCACGTCCTGGGTGGAAACCTGCCTGCTCTTCCCTAATCCGAGATTCTCGCCCCACTGTGAAGGCACGAAGGAGAACTGAGGACAGTAAATTTGTCACAACCGGCATTAGGCTAATACCCCTGTGACTAGCACAGTCGGTGCGACTGCCCTTCTGTAAATTATCAATATGATCGATTCACTCCAGTTAGCCGTGACGGTTCGCTCCTTCCATACATGTACGAACAGGGAGATCAGTGCTTTGCAAAGGACCTCGCTTCCATCCTTAAATAGTGCAGGTGGGAGGGAATCCTGGCCAGGCGCGAAAAAGGATTGAAAGCAGTGATCGTGTTTCGGACATCAGCTTCCGACGGAGGCTTTTGACTAACCATCCAGGGCTGATCTTGTATCACCTGAGTAAGAAGCGGTCCGGAATCAGAGGGCCAACTGAACTGGTGTTGAAAGTGTTCCGCCCAACTAGCCATACGGCGCTCCTTATTGTGAATCCGAGCACTTGTGATATCTCTGATTGTTTCACTGACGTCCGGTTTTCTGGGACCAGTGGTGCTGACCAGCTGGAAGAGCTTGCGGTAACTGCCTACTGCTCCTGCCTCCTCTAGTTATTTAGCCCGAGTGGTCCATCAGGCTTCCTTGTTAATACACAGGCTCCGCTTTCGTTAGTGGCTAACAGTTCGTCTGGTCACATTGTGCTCAGATGCAACCGGGATGTTTTTTTCTGGATTCCAACAGGTCCACCGACCTCTCGGCGTGGTGACGATGGATAGTGCCACAAGCAGATGTTCCTGCGCCCTGCATGGCGGCCGAGATCCTATTCCACTGAAGCTCAGAATAATTAGGACAAAAGAGCGAAAGTTCAGTACACAACGCAGCTTGGTAGGCACGCCTGACTGAGAGCTGAGACAATTTCTCAGTTGCCAATCGGAGGAGACGCTTGGTGCGCCTCCCCATAAAGTTCATGGAAAAGCGATAGGGTACCAAGACATGATCACAGTCAACGTAAGTACTCCAGACCGAGCGACAATCCATAATGGAACCACGCCACCTGTAACTTATGGCAATGTGAGCAATTTGGATCCATCGCTGGCCAACTACAGAAGGACGCCAAATGGCAATTGGGCGCCTACTGTCTATAAAGCGTTGTTACTAATAAAAAGCTGATGCTCCGCACACAGTTGCAGCAGACGCTCGCCGTTGTCAGTCCGTTCGCAGTTAAGCCCACAATTACCACCTAATTGCGCCTCTGAAGAGATCAGACGCCCTACTTGTGCGTTCATATCATCTGCAAGTATTACAATATATGAACTAGTAGCACAGCGTAGTAGCGCGTCACTTCGTGATAGAATGTGCCCTTGACAGAATTTGAACTGCAGTCAGTGGAAGCATAATGGGAAACCACAAACAAACAGCGTTTTGTACTACTTCGTGAATCAACCTTAGCTGATGTCATCAAACAGACTGCACATAAACTGCTGTTCAACGGAATCCATTCAACCAACGATGATTCAGCCATAGAGCTGAGTGCGATACCTACCCCACCTTGACCAGAGGCTGACGCATCAGTGCGTCCTGATGAATGCAGGCAAAAGCGAGAGGACAAGCCGGGCGCAGTTAATTCAACAACCCCGTGAAGGTCATTGATCCTAGTTTCGGATAGGCAACACACATCAATATACAGTGTGTCCAAGGTGCGTGCGAGTGCAGCCTGTTGACCTATTTATCTTAAAGTGAGAACGTCGTACGCCGCCAGGGAAACGGGACAGCGTGGTTCTACAAGGGACTGTTGCCGGTAGGCGTCCAGTAGGTGGTGCGGCAAGGCAGCTGCAGATGGTTACCCTCCAGTGGCACTTCGGTTGCTGTCAATTAAGCTGGGGACTATAGAAGAAAGGTTAGTAATGGGGGTCGGGATGGGAGTAAGAGTAAAAAGTGGGAAAGAAAGAATGGAGGCGCCAGCAGTAGCATATTTTCGCTTATCTGCCCTGCTGTATGCAGCAGATAAGGCGACTCTTGATAATCTGCGCGACGGCCGATGCAAGATGTAGTTAACGTCTGAGGAAATTGTCATGGTTGTATGTGGGCTGAGATACTGCCAGGGCATCCAGACCTAGACAACCGGACGAGTAGGATCCTCAACCAAAACCTTTGGCTCAAAAGACTGTCCGCAAGGCAGCGGGGAAGCGACAATGTGTTAGTTTTACAGAAATGAACGCTAACCCATTTCAACCCCCAACCTGGAGATTGAGTTTGTCTGACCTCTAACTATTGATCAACCTGGTAGGAGTAGCTTTGAAAGGGCCAGGGAGCACCACCCAGTATAGCTCAATGGGTCAAAGAGGCACGCCAGCCGTCGCATCACGTTAAGGTCCAGCCTCGTTGCGACGGTGAGCAAGGTGACGTTGTCACGAACGACAGCTAAGAGGAAGTAAGTGAAGCACTTGGTTAGTTTGATGACTAGCATCTTGAATGGCAATTCCGAAGTTAGATATGTGGTTATGAGACCTTCTCGAGATAAGTAGGCTTTGAAGTTAGTGGTGGAGCTATAATTCCAGTAATCCTCCTATTACTTTGGATTCTTATCTGTCTCTTTACGTCTTATATCCAAATTTCTCAATCGCTGTTATATGCTATCTACAGGAGAATGTAAGGGAAGCCGGGTACGCTGGAACACGATTGCCAGACCAAAAAGATGACTGTCACAAACGCAAAATAATTTCAAAAATTGGAGCAGTATAGAAGGATTACGTCAGATATTTCTGCTAAGCAAAGATAAATTTCCGGTATAATGAAACCTCAAACACTCAGAATGCTTATATGAGGACAAGATGAGAGTTAACAATACACTAGAGGGTACTCACTCGATAGTAAGAGTCCATACTCAGTAAGCTGACCCATTGTAAATCCAGGCTCCCAATGATTTCCAGCGCAAAAGTCGTTTTCCCACTGGCGCTGCCTCCGCATACACCTATCACGAATGGTTCTTGAGCTTGTCCATCTGTGTCGTACCAAGGGGGACGACCGCGGGTGTAAATGGTACGATCGCCGACACGCATAACTGGCTCTGGTAGGCCCCATGAAGTATTACTCAATGAGATGAACTGAGTAACAGAAAAGTGATCGTGAGAGTGATACATATTTGAAGGTAACAATCCACGTGTTCGGTTTTGGTTATGTTAGCTGGATGAGATGCGGAAACGAACGAGTGCCTCAATGAACAGAGTTGTGGAAGGCCAACGCGAGTGAACATAAGACAATTACGACGGCCCCCACCACAAGGTGAATGATAATAAGTTGAATTGAACTCAACAGACTGAGTTACTTTATTATATTGTCTGCTAAAGAACGTAGTTCCCGAAAAATACGCCGCTACTCCTCAATCAATACACCACACTTCAGACAGAGTGAGAGCCTACAGTAAGCATTCGGCACTTTTCGTTGTCGCTAATGGCGCGCGACAAGGGTACACCATGTCCACGTTCCTTTTGAATGTCCTGTTTTAAGCTATAGAAGGCTATCAGAAATTTGGGATTGAGCTCCTTCCTGGCAATCGCGCAACCGACTCAAATTACGCTGATAATATCGCCTCGTTCGGTGATGACTCGCATGGTATACAGTAGATCCTTGACAGACTGGTGGTTGATGTGTTGAATTATGGTATGCGCAAAGCGCGGACACAGGGTTGGCCAACTCCTCATCCTCAGCTTACCATCGAAAACACACCGCTTGAACAGGTGGATAGTTCTGTCCACCTACGGAGATAATTTTCGGCCGACGACACTAATGGAGAGGAAGTATCATTCCATAGCGATCCCCTTCAGGTGACGCAAGCAGTATTTTCTCATTGCGCCTATCCGGTGACGATGCAGCTTCGAGCACCGGCCAAGCTGGTGTTGGCATTGCCCTGAGTCCCCGGGCTGAAGCTTCTCTGGTTGATTAAATTCCAATCAGTAGCCGGATGTGTGCGGTCCAATTGGCTGGCTCGTTTAAAGCTTCGAAGTCGCGCGGGACTAATAGGTGTCTATACATCATCGCTGCCTACGCGCCCACAAATTGTAGCGATGATTCGGTAAAGAACGACTTCTACCGCCAACTGACTCAGCTCCTTCGCCACAGAAGAAGCACGGACACTGTTGTGCTGGCGGGAGATATGAACGCACAAGGTGGAAAGTTGTCCACTGACGAAATGCATCTGGGCGGTTAGCACGGTGTAGGCTCCCGTAATGATAACGGTGATCGGTTACTTCATTTGTGTGAAGATGCTCGCTTATTTCTTGCGAGCACTAATTTCCGACACAGCACCCGCCGGAGGGTGACTTGGCGCCCACCAGCCTCAAACCAGCTATGGACGCAGATCGATCACATTGCTATTAGTTACCGCTGGAGAGGCTGCATCCAGAATTGTCGCTCGGTTTGGAGCACATGTGTGGACACCGATCATGCACTTGTATGTGCTGACATGCGGATGCGCTTTGACGGACGCACACGACGACGCTGTGAGCGCATTGACACCAGCCAACTGACAAAGCCAGTTGTTCTGAAGGCGTATCAAAGTACGCTGACATGCGAGTTGAGCAATCGCTCACTGGAGACAATTGATGGTCACTGGTCACATGTTCGCCAGACCTTACTAGCAGCGGGAAAATCCTCATGTGGTATGTCTAAAAACCAACATGGACATTGGGTCTCTTCGCGGTCTCTGGAACTTATCGACGCTCGCCGGCATATCCCGGCTGGAAGCGAGCACAATGCAACTCGCAAAGAGCTCCGGGCAAAACTCCGCGCTAGCCTGAAGAGAGACCGCGAATCTTGGTGGTCTCAACGTGCGTCAGAGATGGAAGTGGCCGCTGCCCTTGGCAACCATCGTAAGTTATTCCGTCTGATACGGGAAACGGGCAGCAGGAGACCTGGTGTTAGTGAAACAATTTGTGATGAGAGTGGACAGCCTATTCACAATTTATCAAAAGGTTTGGAGCGTTGGGCTGAGCATTTTGAAAAGCAATTTAAGCGGCTAGAATTGTTCGATTCTTCGCCGGCCAGTGATCGCCCTGCTCCGTGGGCTGTCCCTTTGGATCCACGCTTTCGCTCAGAAGTCGAACGTGAGATCGGACTGTTGAAGTTGAACAAAGCCGCGGGACCAGATGATCTTCCTCCATCCCTCTTCAAATTCGGAGGCTCTGCTCTTGTTGATGCTTTACATGAATTACTAGTGAAACTGTGGGAGCAGGAGACTGTCCCAACCGACTGGAGCCGCTCCGTTATTGTTCCCATCTTCAAAGGCGGCCCGCGCTCGGAATGCAGCAACCATAGAGGAATCAATCTGATCTCCATCGATTCCAAATTACTCGCCTCCATAATTCTTCACAGACTGACTGGCGCTCGTGAAAGCCAGATTCGTGAGGAGCAAGCCGGGTTTCGTCGGGGTCGTGGCTGCATCGACCACATCTTCATCTTGCGTCAGTTGTTGGAGCACCGTCACACATACTGGCGGCCCACCGTAGTCGTGTTCCTCGACATCAAAAGTGCCTTCGATTCGGTTGATTGACGTGGCCTTTGGAATTGTCTACTCAGGAAAGGTGTGCCCGAGAAATATGTAAATATTATCCAAGCATTATATGCGCGTAGCACGGGCAGAGTGAGGGCTTACGGCAAGCTGTCGCCACCCTTTAATATCTCCAGCGGTGTGAGACAAGGATGCCCGCTGTCACCTTTCCTCTTCAACTTCGCTATCGACGTAGCCATGGAAATGGCGTTCACAGGACACGACTTGGAAGGTGTGGAGCTACTCCCAGGAGAACGACTTCTTGACTTGGAGTATGCAGACGACATTGCCCTCATCTGTGACAGCTCCCAGACGTGCCAAGCCGCGCTGGACAGATTAGCACTGGCTGTCAGCCGCTTCGGGCTTTGCTTTGCACCAGCGAAGTGCAAAGCGTTCCTCCAAGATTGGCAGGGTTCGCCTCCTGCACTGACCCTTGGTGGGGATCAGCTAGAAGTCGTTCAGAAATTCAATTACCTGGGAAGTTGTATCAGCGCCCTTGGGATCGAAGACGAGGTCACGAACCGTATAGCAAAAGCTCGGAGTGCTTTTGCTAACCTTCGCCACCTATGGCGCCGGCGCGACATTACTCTCGCCCTGAAGGGTAGAGTGTACAATGCAGCGGTACGTTCGACCTTACTGTACGGTTGCGAAACCTGGCCCCTAAGGTCAGCAGACATGAAGAGGCTAGTTACGTTTGACCATCGGTGCCTTCGCAGTTTGGCTCACATATGGTGGGAACACCGCGTGAGTAACGAGCGTGTCCATCACTTCGGAGCTAGCCTCGGTTGGAGCCTCACGGCTCCCTGGTTGGGGTCCAAAAGACGGTGAACACGTTTGGCTGGATACACTTGCTGACATGGCAAGGAGCCGACCTCAGTGGCGTTCGTGCTGTGAGTTTCTTTGTCCCTCCCCATCCCTTTTAGTCTCCCCCTCCATCTACGATCTCATTTCCTAGGGTAAAACATTATAAAAAAAATTTCTTTTTCCCTAGTAGCTGGCTGGAAGCTTACCGGAACGATGCCTATCCGTTGCTGGTAGCTCAGCTGGCATGCAACTGTTGTATCTATTTTTCCTTTGTGTATTGTATTATATGTATGTATGTATGTATTTCTTTCATGTATTGCGGCACAATAGCGGAGGTGTTTCCCCACCTCTAGCTGATGTGTATAATGATGAATAATGATGATGATGATTCCATAGCGTTAAATCTTGGTTGGTCTCTGTTAACTTGAGACGTTTGTGGTACCGACTCGACATTTCGCTCTCGTTAAAAGACAGGATCTGCTATACTAGTGTTCGCGTGATACTGTTGCATGTATGCGAATCCTGGCCGATTTGTGTAGATGACATGCGCAGGCGTTCAGTAATAGATGGTAGTGCCGAAATGTATCGATTTGGATGTATAAACCTTCGTCTGAATTGACCTTATATGGCTGTTTAAAGAGGATCTGCAGTGTGTAGTGGCAGCAGCGAAGACGCAATGAGGACATCAGAAGTGTCTTGGGCAATGCGGATCCTCTGTGCGCTTGTTCTACTGTGCCAATAGGGGTGGCTTGGCTAGGCCTCGTGCATATGTAATGGATGTTTACCACACCGCGAAACGATGCACTAGAAGAGGCCACGTGAAGGACAAGCCGATCACTGGGCGATAAAGCGTGAAATCAATGACATCTTGTCTAATCATTCTTGGCCCTGTAGGTCTCCCCAGTTGAGGACACAAGGATGCAGGATAGCAATGACTTACAACGCTCGACGCAATGGCGCAAAACCAGTTGCAGTGGAAATTGTGCGCAAGGTTGCATGAATTCCAAAAACTCTAACTAGTACAACACGACAAAAATCGGAAAAGCATGTGAAAAAGGCGAACAACTGTTTGTTTTTACCCTTTGCTGCAGGTCCATTTTCAAAAACGCTGTGCATATAACTATAGCCAACTCCATTTCCATGGTTTTGAAGGGCTCAATGTCTATTCTACAGACTGATGTCATTGTAGTGCAATGGAAGCAAGTTAGGTCGATGGTTAAATGCAAACGAACAGAAGAGCGCTGTACGCAGGAACAAGAAAAACGGACTGCACCGGTCCCCAAGTGAAAGGACAAACTCCCAAGATAAAGGGACCTAATACTTCAGTAACTGTTCGACATGTTACGTGTGAAGTAAAGGGAGAGCGTACAATATTTTGGCTATGAAACAATCAGTATTCGGTAGTTATAGATCGATGATTAACAATCCTAAGTCATAGATGACGATCGAGGTAAATGTACTTACAAAGCCATGCTAAACACAAGTTTTATGCGCAAGCAGATGTTAAATAGCGGATGCGTTGGAACGATTGCGGTAAACAAAAATATAAAACCCATTTTCACCTCACTTACCTTACGCCGGCTATGACCAGAGCGTCTGGTTTCATACTGACTAAAGAAATGAGGGAGTAACAAGATGAGATAGTCGAGGTTAGCAACTGGTAGCTACCAAAAACAACTTTATTAAGGTAGCTTGAAAGATATATACTAGTTAATTGATAAAGGTGACAGGAAATGAGGTCAAAATTACAACCGGTGCATTTGTGAGCCATGGGAGCAAATTTCGTGACAACGTTTATTGCTCCGGGATTACAGAACGGTCGGCGGTAGCCATTCCTTCCGAAGTCAAAGATCAGATAGGCAATCGGGAAGGAAGCGGAACAAATAACTTCCGAGTGAACTAACGTGCAGCCCAGTGTAACTAAAGTATAAAAAACGCGCCATATCACGAGGTGTGTGTAGGTGTGGTCGGAAGTAATAAGACCATCTATGTCCTCCTTACACGGCGACGACATAAGGGCCATCTGTACTAGATTGGCTCTTCAGAAACGCATGTAGCACGCCCAATGTATGTGAGTAATCAAAGGGCGAAGATAGAAAATGTAGTTCACTTCAGATAAACCACTATGGTACGGGCACCGAAGTGCGGAGAATCCGGTTGGGCAGAATAACAATAACAAAGACCAGAAAAAAAGCTTAAATGCAAATAGAACACAAAGAAAATGGAATCAAGACAGAAGTGCACAAAACTAACCGAGTGGAATGAAGATTAGCGGTTAGATGCAATAAACTGAAGGTAGGAATACCACTGCCCTCGCGGCTGCACCATGTCTAACAGGGTCGCAGGCTGGCTTGCCGAGCAATCTCCTCGTGGTGCCAGCTTGGTGGTTCGGGATTATCCCGTCCCAGCAAATCGTTGGGCGGCAGGGTTCCAGGACGTGGTGGGCTTTCGTCTGGCAAACGATCTCCCTATTAAAAGCCACATATGTCCGTTTAACAACACTGTGAAGAGGTGAATGTGACTCGCCACTAAATAAAGTCACTGGCCCTTGCTTCGCACTGGCGAAGCATTGTATTCCAGCAACTTAACGCTGAAATTGTGGGGAGCATTGGACCCCTGTTTGGCAAACGAACAAACAAGAGGCGTATGAACAGGACAATCAGGCACCGGCTCACAATGGGCGAGATTCCCTGAATTCGCTCCGCTGCCTCGCAGGCAGGCTATTCGGCCAAACGCTCGGGGTGTTGTTCCCTAAGCCAACACCCTACTTCGGCTTGGGCAACCGGGTAGCACCTCGCCCTCTGACGAAACCATGGACACATCCGTGTTGTGTTACTTTTTAAAAATATCTGTACCTTCAAAGCTGAATTTAGGGAGCACGCTGTGTGGTTGGGTTGCGACTCGCATCGTCTACTGAGACCTCGGCTCAGTTTGAGGTAAACTTCGGACATTCCGATCTCGAGGACCGTATCGTGAATATTTGGGTGTTGCTCTTCCTAACACTGGCACACCACGATCGCGGTTTCATTTTGGTTTAGACTCGTCAGGTGGAGATAGCCTGAGCTAGGGTGGAACTCAGAGCTTAGTAGTCCATCGCTGACGCCCTGAACACTATGCTACTGAGATCCGCGAGCAACGTTTGGCACAGCGGAAAGTAATTCAAAGCTGAATTTAGGGAGCACCCAAACATATCTGTACCTTCCTTTGAATTCCATGGCTTATAATGGCTCCATGTCTATTCGCAGGCTGTAGCAAATATGTAATATGGTCCCAACCACTGGTGTGGGTCATTCCAAAGCCCCCATAAACGAAGACAGCATCCACCAGCCTGATCAAGTCTCACAGTCAGTTTCTTCATACCTATGTGGCACGTCACTGATTGGCCACCTCGCGGTTCCGCCCAACTTGATGCAGCAACGGCGCATACTGCACACCGAGGAAGCCGGTGAACAGGCATACGGAAGATATCACCTAGCCAACGTAAACATTTAAGATTCAGCAAACACTCGTATGACGTACCAGAAAGCTTCTTGCAAAAATCAATGGCAAACCACAGCATTGCTCACCCGGTGTCCCGACCAGATGTGAGCAAGGCTCCGCAAGCACAGGCCATCATGCCGGCCGGTGGCTGAAAGGATTGCACGCCTGGGTTGCAACCCTTAAGTCACCGGTTCGAATCAGCGTAGGGGCGGGCGTCCTCGCGGTATACTCAGCCCACGCCAGATACTTGAAGATTGCCATACGTTCAGTCAATCAACTATAGTCATATTCTTGGACATTCGAGCCGCTTTTGACTTTGTTGACAGAGTGGCTTTTTGGGACTGCGTACTGAAGAGAGGAATACCTGAGAAGTACATCAGCATACTCCGTGCTATTTACCATCAAACTTTGGGCCGCATGCCAGCATACGGAGAAATTTCGCCCCCTTTCAGTATCAATAGTGGTGTTAGACAGAGTTGCCCAGCCTCTCAACTTCGCCATGGACATGATCCTGGATACTGCCCTGGATAACAGGGTCCTGCGGTGTTGAACTGCTCCCTGGTGACCGCCTTCGGGACTTAGTGTACGCCGATGACATCGCTTTGAGTTGTGAGTCCTCCCAAGCCGCCCAGCATGTGCTGCTCAGACTGGAGATGTTCGCCGCCCAATTTGGGTTGAGCTTTGCCATTTCCAAATGTAAGGTCGTATTACAGGATTGGCCAAGCGAATGTCCTTCTCTAACCTTTACGGGGCATACGTTAGGAGTGGTCGACAAATTCATTTATCTTGGGAGTTGTCTTAGTATTGGCGGTTTGACATATGAGATCTCTCTAAGTGTCTCCAAGGCTAGAGTCGCTTTCGCTAATCTTCGTCACCTGTGGCTTCGTCGTGACCTCAGCCTCGCTCTCAAGGGACGAGTCTATAATGCTACGGTACGAAGGATTCTGCTGTACGGCTGTGAGACTTAGCCTGTTCGCAAAAGTAATGTTCAGCGGCTATCTGTCTTCGATCACCACTACTTGCGAAGCATTGCTGGTGTTCGATGGCAGCATCAGATCAGTAATGAGGAAATGTCGGCGAGTCATCAGATCTAACGGACTCCGCCGATAGATTGATAACATCATTTCACTGCAGAGGCTTCGCTGGCTTAGCTATGTGCTTTGCATGCCTTCCCAGCGGCTACCAAGATGAGCCCTATTTGCGAGCAGAAGCGTGGCTTGGGAACAACGAGAAGGAGGGCAATGTAAAACTTAAATCCAATGCCTTAAGGCGCAAAGGTTAAAGCTGACTGTTGTCGAGCGTTACCGACTACCGGGTTGGGGACCATAAGACACCAAGCATACCTGGTTGCAAACGTTGGAGGATATGGCCTAGGACCGTACGCAATGGTGCACTTGCCGTGAGACTTTTCTATCCAAACAGTTGCTTTCCCTTTCACGCCACTTTATTCTTCGCATGTGTTGTGGCACTCAGCCAATTATATTATTATTGCTAGTGTTGAATATATATATATATATATATATATATATATATATATGCATCACGGGCAATGCTGGTCTTTAGCAAAGCAAAGATTCCCATTCCATTAATATGAATCAATGTCAGAAATCAGTTCCGGGGAAGAATTCTTTTCGGTAACTCTCATCGGACCCAAACGTTTACAAAACACTGATACTGTGGGGTAAGCGCCAACTCGGGCTGGTATTTACCTCTGGCCTGTTTGAATGATCAAAATCGATAACTTGAGACATAGGTAGCGATGGTAAACCAAGTAAACTAAATACACATTGTTACAGAGGAGGTAAGAATATTCCACCACTCCCCGTTGTTTCGTGAGTTTTATTCCACTCACCCCGTCCTCTTTTACGGTTCCCCACATCCGTTTCTATTACTTCACCTTTGTGACTAGCTTGGGTTGACACTGAATCTTATACTTAATGGTTTTCCCTTACTCTGTACATTTCGCTCATTCGTGAGACATCGTATCGATTCTTCGCCCCGGGAATGACTAGCTTTGATTGATCGATTGTCAGCTTTTCTGCATAGCCTGTGTATATGCCCTAATTTGAATCATGTCAATGAGTTGCACACACAAACGTTTGGTGGCCGGTTTGGCGTGCGGCGTGAACAGTATTTTCTACCCGGTTGTTGGTGTTCTCACTACGGTTAGTGGGTGGAAGCAGTCGTGGGGGTCCGACACAACAGTTTCTCTGGCGAGGGAGGTGTTGAATTATCATGGCCATTTCATTCGAGCAGTTGCAGTCCCTCCTTCAGCAGCAGCAGCTTCAGTTTGAAAAATCACAGCGGCAGTTAATTCAGTTGTTATCAGAAAAACTCAACATTCAAGTGGAATAGGTACCGGAACCGAGGTTAACAGCCCAGAAAGTTGTAACTGAATACCACAAGCTGCCCAGTTTGAATCATGACCCGGAAATGCGTAAGTCATCGAGCCTTCAACTTTTCCGTCGTCTCCTAACTTCTCACGGGTATCATTTTTCCATGACTTACTGGTTCTCGTGAGAATAGAATCATTGAAAACCAGGCTGGCTTCCGCCTTGGTCGTGGTTGCATTGACCACCTATTTACTCCTCGCCAAGTGTTTGAGCAGAGACACGGATCACCGGCTATGGTGATTTTTCCTGACTTGAAAGCCGCCTTCGACTCACTCAATCGTGATAGCCTGTAGCAGTGTCTATCCGTTATGACGATGCCTTGGAAACTTATTTCCACTCAGAAGTCCCTCTACCGTGACTTCTATGTCCGGGTTAGATTCTAAGGGAAGCTATCTTCTGAGTTTCGCACAAAAACTGGAGTTCACCAGAGTTATCTTCTATCTCCTCTGTTCTTTCGGACTCTTCCGCAGTGGATGTTCTGTCAGGTGCAGACGCCGTAGCTCTCCTCGCGTCTGACGTAGTGGCTATGCAAACACTACTAAACAGACCGACGCTTAGTGCTGCACGCTTCGACATTTGCTTTGCACCATCAAAGTGCAAAGTACTGCTGCAGGACTGGACCGATACGCCACCGGTTTTGGTTACCAACTTGCTACATTTTGGTAGAGCATTGGATACCATCAAAGCGATACTGAAATTGTGTAGAGGATTGGGCTCCTGTTTGGCAATCAACCAAAC